ACCGGACTGGGACTGACTGGACCTTCCGCTGACTGACTGTGGACTCACCGCCATCCTACCGACGTTGTACTGCTGTTGCACTGCGGTTTAGTCCACCACTTGCCTCTCCACTTGACCACTTGCCCACTTGCCTACCTTCTAGAAGGTCTACAGCTAAGCTTCCGGAACTCACTAAGACTCCTACGCTATAGACCTACAGATCGAACCCCTGCTGCCTATAGTCCTACGACAGGCCTACCAACTGCCTATGAATACACAGGTCACAGGTTCAATTCTCGGGGTCTACACAGATACTGTACATGGGTAGGGTGAGGTCTAGGGATCGAACCCTGGGTACTGCATCCGCCACTGCTAAAAGGTGAAAACCGTTTCATAAATGCTGAATAAAGGAGAGCACATGTGGAACGTAACGTCTGCCTGGCCTGGAAAAATGGCAGTGGGCCTTCAGGTCGCGCACCAAGAATGGGTGCGCCGCCTGGGGGCCTGGAACAACCGTCGGGCCCCAAAACAGGGCCCATGTAGCGACCTCAGCATGCTACTCTCTCTCTGTCTCTCCCTCTCTCTCTCTCTCTCACACACACACACACACACACACACACACACACACACACAACCGACCAAATATATAAATGCAGAAAGCCTTCGGCCTTTATACTGAACCAGATAGAACCTGGAATCCAATAAAGATTAGCAATATCCAGGATGGACAACAAACAACCCAAAAGGAAAAGAGTACACACACGACTCTCGGGTAAATAAAGAGTTGTTACTCTATTTCAAAAGTCAAACTACATTTCTTGTCCGCGATTTGGGCTTACCTGCTGACTTTTCAGGGGGGAGCTTGGGGTCAACTGTTCCTTGGGGGGGCATGGGGTTAAACTGTTATTGAACCGCCACGCGGCGCCAGTACCTCTCCCAGTCGTTTTGTTTCAACGTGTTTGTGTACAACAGTACAACCGTAATTTTCAGGGTTCGGGGGTTAGGCATACCGGATCTCTTTGGCTAGCGGCACCAGCCAGAACGAAAAGAATTTGGACTGGGCAACTTTTCAATGTGTTTTTGGCATTAAAAAAAAAAAAAAAAAAAAAGTGTTTTTGGCATGCAGCACATTTGGCATGCAGCACATATCTGCCTAGGAAAAAAGAGGCGCTGAGGTACTTGTGGTTTAAGGGGTGGGAGGGGTTTAACTGTTATTTAGGGGAGATGAGGGTTTCACTCTTATTGGGGTAAACGGTGGTTTGGGCCTTGAAGTTTGGAAATGGAAGAAATGGGTTTGAGGGGATGGGGAAGAGTATAATCATTGATTACCTGCGAGAGCGATTCCTTGAGCGCGGCCCGTAGCGAACACAATCATGCCCATGCACAGAGTCACAGGAATTACCGTGAGAGCTGATTGTACCAAGCAAAAGTAATTCAGCACAGGCACGTAAAACAGAACCAGTAAATATCATAACGATATAATGATATTATAATCTATTAATTAGTCAGTCAGTCACAAAAAATCATTTCCAGCTATTGTGCTTCCAAAAAAAAATCCGGCATTAAAAAAACAAACAAAAAACTATTTATTTCAATTATTTATTTACTTCTAAAGGAGGTAGCCCTCAAACATTATGCTAGTCATCTGAAAGATTCTGAATCCATCAGGCGTGCAGTCCCACTAACATGAGTACGAAGGTATGCCCGATCCCAGTGCGATGCGCGTGATTTGTGTGTGACTTGTGGGGAACATGTTTTGCCCCACATTAAAGCACCAGTACATGGCCCCAGCCAAGTTGAGAGTCCGATTGAGGCTCTCCTAAAATTCCAGAGGCTTGCGTGCTGTCAATAAAATAAATCAACGACGGGCGGCCTCCGAGAGCGGCCAGCTGCCAATGGCTGGCATGTACTGGTGGTTTAATAAATGTAAACAGGTCCTGAATATCAAAGAAAAAGATAAGAACTTCGTTTCAGTGTGCGAACAACCTTGCTGAAAATGGAAAGAGACTTCGCCGGCATGAAATGAAGTGATAGACACTTTGTAAATGAGGGACTGGGAGGATCAATGAGCTTATTGCACAAAAGCCTTCGGAATCCTCAAATGTTCTCTCTCTCTCTCTCTCTCTCACGCGCGCGTGCGTGCGTGCGCCTTCACTTTGCCGAAACTGCCAAACTGGGCCACTCTCTCTCTCTCTCTCTCTCTCTCTCTCTCTCTCTCTCTCTCTCTCTCTCTCTCTCTCTCTCTCTCTGTGGCCACTCTCTCTC